CTGGCACATTGTATTTTCTCCCATTTTATTCGTGTGTTGGGATATGCTAAATAGAATTCAAATCCAGAACTCTTGGAAGTCTGCAACTACATTTTCGTTCTTTGATTTTGAATCAAACTTTGTTTCTAGGATTTCAATGGCATATTCAGCATTTCAAGTTTTTCAGGAATGAAGCACTGCAGTTGCACAAGATGTTACTAATTTTACATCATTTTTTTTTCTTCTTTCCATTAATTCAACTAATTAGTGCACATGTTTAGACTCACATGAGACCAAAGGCAGTTAGTTCAGGCAATAATGTTAGGTGGTTGTTGATATTGTGTGATTATTAGCATGCACTCGTTGCTGTGAAAGCAAATAAATATAGCCCCCATTTCCTGATACAAGTTAAGTTAGGTACACCCAAAGTTATCCTTACACAGTGTTCTAGTGATGAGTAGATTAGACCTATTCTGAAACAATCTGCTTGGCCTATCGATATCGCAGGGATTATTTATATTTTACTTTCATTCACTGCAAGAATCCACATAAGTTGTAGTTATTTAGTCTACTATTTTAATACTTGCACATATTGAATTTTAATATATGTTATATAATAAAGTGTAATAATAAACGTTTGGTTTTTAGTGTAAAACTTATGTCTTGTACCATAACTACAGAACCGAGTCAAATTATATTCCATAACTATATCGGACCTGGATCCTGAGTTTTTTGGCTGGCTCCTTGATCTGAAAATATTTGTTGAGGCCTGATCTGGAGAGTCAATCCATTAACTAGCAACTAACTCAACAACAACCGAGTGATCACTGAATAAAAGCATATTAAACTGCATGACATGGATAGTTTCAACATTTATATACATTAGGATTCTCCATTTTGTAACTGTAATCAAGGATATATATATATATATAAAAACAACAATTTCAAGCTACAGTAATCTATTTGGGTGTCCAAATATTAAAGACATGTTTGAAAAATGTTCCTATCAATTTCTTTCAATAAAAGATGGTTTAATTTTCACCAACATAAGTGACTGCCTTAGACTTAAGTGAACATAAAGGCATATTATAATAATGAAATTCACAACTTATCTACAGAAATATCATGTTGGCTGCATCAAAAATTCAGCACAGAGAAATACCCTTCAAAAGAAGTTTATAACAAAGTAAAAAAAAAAACACGTTTTTCCAAAAGTCTTATGCTTATGTTGTTCAGTTATACTCACTTTCCCATCATGGACTTCCTGAAGAAATGATAAACTTTTATTAAAGATACACTGCAGTTGCTCATCTGTCATTTCCTTGATATTCCTGAAGTTAGAAACTGTTTTCACTAACTTTTTCTCATTTTGATCACTAAAACAAATCATTATTTGTCTAATAATAAATAGTCATAATTCTACTAAACATCCTTTCAAAATGAACCACTTCCTACTGATTCTTGTTTTAAGTGGAAATTAAGAAAAAAGAAACCAAAAGCTTCCATTAATAATTCAAATAATAATAGTGTATGGATATCCATTTTTATTGTACTTTATAACTCATCATATTACAGTGCAGAGAATAACCCATTTATTACAATAGGTGAATCATGACATAATAAGGTAGAACATAACCAATGTTTGGTATAGTTAGTAACTTATCAAGATATAATGTAGAGGATATCCAATATTTATTGTAGTTAGAAACTTATCATGATATGATGTAAAGGTTAACCAATGTTTACTATAGCTAAAACTTATCAAATAATAATGTGGTGGATACCCATAATTTTATTATAGTTAGTAACTTATCAAGTAATAATGTTAAGGATAACTAATGTTTATTATAGTTAATAATGTAAGTATTAATGGAGCCAATAACCTATTTATGGCAGTTAGTGTCAGAGCAAGAGATATAACAAAGGGGCTGGCAGAGATGCAGTTTTTTTATAACACATGTAAGAAAAGGTAGGTCAGAGGAGCTACTTAATAAGTATAAGGAGTTGATAAAGGCACTTAAATAAGATGGCCATAACTTAATTTTGTCAGGGATACTGCCCACAATTAACTATGGGGGATGAACTTATAAGCAGGTCATTAGGGCTAAATGCTAGGCTTAGGTTAGTATGTAAGGATGAGCAGATTGACTGGTTGGCCTTGTGGGATCAGTTCAGTGGGAAATTGTTTGTTTGTTTGTTTTGAATTTGGTGCAAAGCTACACGAGGGCTATCTATGCTAGCTGTCCCTACTTTAGCAGTGTAAGAATAGAGGGAAGGCAGCTAGTCATCAACACCCACCGCCAACTCTTTTACCAACGAATATTGAGATTGATCATCACATTATAATGCCCCCACAGCTGAAAGTGCAAGCATGTTTGGTGGGACAGAGATTCGAACCCACAACCCGCAGATTGTGATTTGAGCTCCCTAACCACCTGACTATGCCGGGCCATAGTATGAGAAGAGAGCTTTTTGTAATGGATGGTTTACATTTAAATAGAGTAGGACCTGGCTTGTTTGATAAAACTCAGCTGTAACGTAAGTTTTAAACTAGGACTAGACAGTGGTGAGAGCCAGAAAAACTGAATGCAGAAAGAAAAAGAGGGAGAGAAAAATTGAGCATAGGAAATGAGTATAGAATTAGTTAGAAGTATAGGCTTAATGACTTTAGAGCACTGGTAGGAATGGAGGATTTTGATATAATGGGAATAACTGAAACATGGTTAAACATAGATGATTTTGATGACAGAAATTTCTTTTGAAACACAGGGTTACAGGCTATTTAATAGGGACAGTCTTAAAGAAGGGAGGAGGAGTGGCATTGTATGTCAAAAAAAGAGTTACATTCTGTTGAAGTTGAGGATATCAAAGATAATAGCAAAGAGATTGAATCCATTTGAGTTTCTATTAGTGGATATATAAAGAAAAAAGGCTTTTAGTGTGAATTTGTTACAAACCACCAAATGATACTGATGAAATTAGCGAGAAACTTTACAATGAGATTAAGACTTCAGCTGTTCGTGAAGTCATAATTATGCGTGATTTTAATTTCAGGCATATAGATTGGGAATTTCTAGAATCAAACCATGAGGGAGAAAGGTTTTTGGAAACTGTTCAGAATGGCTTTCTTCACCAGTTTGTTAAGGAACCAACTAGAAACATTGCTATGTTATTCTTATTGTTAACTTCAAATACAGAAATGATCATTTTAATTTAGTTTTAAGGATGAAACAGCCGAGATGAACCAATAGGTCCCACGTTGTCCCAAAATATTATATTATGTTAAATAATAATGTAGAACATAACCCATGTATAGTGTAGTTAGTAAATCATAAAATAAAAATTCCGAAAATAAACCAAAGTTTTTGTAATGAGTAACTCAAATAATAACGTGGAGAATAAGCAATATTTATTGCAGTTATTAATTCATCAAATAATGATGTAAACAATATCTCATGTCAATTATAGGTGTCATACCTGAAATGTATATTAATTTTCATCCTTTCCTGACTGATTTACAGTATTGTTGCGTCAGCGAGTCACATGACTACAGTGACGCAACGTTTCTAGAATTATCATGTACTTTGGCGAATGCTCTAGTATTTACTAGTAGGGTAGGCTAGTAAATATAAGAGGGGAAAACGTGACGCGGAAAGGTAAGGTAATGTGTGTATGGATAGTGAGTAATTGAACTGCAGTTAGAGAGCACGAGAGACGTTACAGCGTTTGTTTAGCGCGATTGTTGAAGTTGAGTGTATTGGTACAGTTATATTCGGAAATAATAAACCAGTTTTATTAAGTAAAGAACTTGTGTCGCTTAAGTTTCGTCGGAACGAAGTTACGGAAAATCAATTAACAAACGGAGACGTAACAGTATATTAGTAGTTAGATATATTTAGGCAATTTATTAAAAAGTTCTTACAATTTCACGTGTAGTTATGATATTTTTTTAAACCATATGCTAAGAGTTTTGAAGCATATACAAATTCTTTAATCAGAAAAACGGTTGCAAATGACAATAATTAGAAACTTCTATTTTGACTTTGTGTACACTCCTTGGTGTGATACAGATACTTGTACATATTAGTATGAATTATGGGTTTTCTCTTCTACATATGCTATTTGGAAATGTGTGTGACATATGTATCTTTAAGTAAATGTTACCACACTTGGCCCTCTTCATCTAATTTGAACATGTGGTTTATCACAATTCCCTCAATCCCATGTGGACCTTAAAGGAAAGCCTTTTCATGCCAGCAGCAGGAGGAATCAAGGGAAAGTAAGAATCTACTCAGTTTGTGATTGTGTATTTTCAGTTCTATATAAAGTGGTCCACACCTTCTCGTACTTCTACAGTGTTGTATATTCCACTATCACTGACATCTGTATCTAGGATGAGTGGACATACAAAGTGCATGTCAACCTTAGTCATTGCAGGCAGTGGTGTGGCTATCTTTGAGAATTTATCCAGAAACCTTTGAGAATACCATGTGAAACCAAGCTGTAAATTTCTCATAGGGACCAGTCATTGAATTCTATGATATTTCCAGGATAATTAAGTGCTCCATCTCTTCTGTGCCCATGAGTTGCCACTTTTTAGGTTTCAATTTCAAGTATGTATCCTTGAAATAATATTCTCAGGTTCTCAGCCATAGGTTCAAATCTACAACCAAAGATCTCCCATTGCAGTCCCCCTTCTGTATAAGTTCCATCAACTGTGCTAAAGAATGTAGATTGAGGGAATGTACTAATGTGAATAATATAAAATACAAATAACCATAGAACTTTTAGTTCTTGTATGCTATATCATTGTTGCTGCTGCACTGGCTCTGACCTTATGATTTGTTGTCACTACTGACACAATGGTTTTAACTCATGCATGATTTCCAGGATCTGAACATTCAACAAACAGACAGATCTTGTTTGTTGTACAAGGAAGTTGTACTCTTGCAACGTAGTTATCTAATGCACAGTCATACTTTCTGAGTTTTTGAAGTTTATTATCAGGTAGTGGTAGTAATGTTTGATAAATACTAGAAATGAAAGCTTTTTCATACATTATTAGAGCTTGGGAGCACTCAGTGTATGATTACGTACACGTTGATGTACACCACAGTTGACCAATCACAAACTTCAGGATAGCGGTGGGATGACTCTGTTATGGGAATGTGGAGATAGGGATTGGTAACATCAAACTTGGTCATCCACAGTCCTGCCAAAAAATGCCAATGTAGGGTGAAAAATGATTCCACCATGAACCAGGGAGGATCTCAGAATTGGTTGGAACCCCACATTCACGTAACTGAGCAGTAAACTTCCCTGCATGAACAGCAATATCAGATGATGAGGAAGAACCAAGTATTCAACCTCACACATTTCCATCATCAAGGAAGGCGTAGAGTCAAAGGCAATTGGAGAAAAACCTAAAATATCACACATCCAATTGACTAACTGAAGAAAAGGAACCGGAGGAGGCTGATCCAATCTGGCCTCATGAGAAGCCAACCTAGTAACGGAAGGTTCCGGAAAAAGCGAATCTAAATTATCTTCAGAATGTGCAGGATTGTTGGCAAAAGCAGCCTCAGAGCCCTCTAAACCAAATATATGACTCTATCTCACTACAAGTAATGTCACAGACAGCATCAACTGAGAGTGACTCCCCCCCTCCCCAAATGTTGAGCAATGCTAGATATCAGAGGTAAGATAGGTCTGATTAGCTTCCGTGCCTGTGTCTCCAACATTCACAGGACAGAGAAACCCATTCCTGAACACTTTGTCGAGAAAAAGTGATAACATTATCTGAATGAAATGCTTATATACAGTACCAGGATAGAGGGTGCATTAACGTAGGTGGAGAGTGTCACAAGATGAATATTAGCAAGGGCAATTAAATGGGGTATAAAAGACTGGAGCAAGCAAAAAAAAATAAAAACTCAGACCAATGATTAGATGGGCAAAGGAAGAAACCCTGGCAGTTGAGTAATAGCTGAGAGAGGACAAGTATGTTTTGGAATACTTATGCCCACTAAAGTAAATAAAGTAACAATCAAAAATTTGTCAGTGTCCAAAATAAATTAAATTCAAGACCAGAACATATTAAGATATGCATCTTTAAATTAGACTATGGTTTCCAACTCATTCAGAATGACAAGTCAAATTTGTTGTTCTTTAAAGTATTGTGGCAATTATTTTTGTTTGTTTTTTGTTATGCACTATATTGTACGTTTTGTAGAATATCATTAATACTAAGCATGAAGTGGGCAAATTTGGCATACCTTACAAGTGTAAGACCATACTATAAGTCTGAATGTACTATGTGTATCTTCATGAAATTTGGTAAATTATAAGTCTATTGTGTACAAAAAAGTAAATTTGATGATAAGGTATTTTTTCTATAGATTTGTCTGTAAAGTTACCAAGAGTTTACTGAGTCAGTCTGAGTGAAATGTGATTTTTGTGCTTGTACATTTTACAAATTTATAGATATCTTAGCAAATCAAGAAGGTAGGAAGTTCAAATTTTATATCTGTTTGTTTCTAATTGCTGTAAAATTCAGCAGCCTGTTTGTGATGTTAGAAAATTTGAAAAGGGAAAAATCAAAGCCAGGTACATCACAGACACAGAAAAGTGAACAAAAAAGAATTATAAAAAAAAAAATTTTTTTAAATCAAACTTCTTATAATATTAAAATTTGAATCAAAATCAAGTTAATATATCAAGTTTATTGCCATGCATAGATAATAAAGCTGTTTAATTAGATTTTGAATATAAATTTTTGACATGCAAAAGTGAGTGAAAAAATTAGTGTTTTCATCAAAAAGTTGACTAACAATTTGAATTAGAATATGAAGCCAAAAATATATATGATTGTTGTCTGTATTCTTAATATCCAGGTATACTTGTGTGTTTATTAAGCTATAGTGTTAATTCTTTCATATCTTGTTGATTATTTAACTGTAATAACTTCACTTGACTGACTATACAATCACATATCCACACAAAATATCTGAACTTCACTTACTTCACTTGTTTAATTGATTCTTCAGTGGCACATGTAACATCATCTTTATTGTCATTGATGTTAATTACTGGTATTTCTTTATCATCAACTGCTTTAAAATATGATGAAATCTCCTGTTTATGAAACTTGTCAAACTCCAGAAGTTTACGAATACTGAATCTCCGAAATTTTTTTAGTGATTTCTCTGATAAAACTAAAGACTCAGAATCAGCACTCAAACTTTTGTGAGAGTTCTTTTCACTAAGAATGGTTTTAGTTGCAGGTTTGTTAAAAACTAATTTAAGCAACTCTGAATCTGAGTGAGAAACTTGACTGAAATCTGGTGTTGATTGAGAATGAAGCAACTTTCGTTGAGATAACTTTGATCGAGACAGCTTATTTTCCTTAGATTTTAGTCCTAAATTATAACAAATCTCTTCTATATCATCAGCTGTAAACCCAGCTACTCTACTTTTTGGTGACTCATCAATTTCCATAATGCCATTTATTCGATTTTCTTTTAAGTTACCTGTTACAAGTGGACATGTTACTTGACATTTAGATTTACTTTTATCTTCACCATATTTAATTTTCTTTTTTTCCTTTTTTTCACTTGAATCCTGAACATGAGGAATAGCTTTATTTTCAGAAACAAATGCCATTTTCCCCTCTTGTT